TAAGTAAATTGAGGAATTTTCGTTCCCCATATAGTTTGCTCAACACAGCAGCTACTAATCCTTCATTTCTTTGCAATTAACTTTATTTTTTTTTATCCCCAGCCTCAACATATCCTAGTGTGAGTCAGTGAAGTCACAAAGAACAGAAATAAAAAAAAACAATATATTTTAAAGGCTTGTAACATCATGTCCTTTCTCAGAGACTATATAAGTCAAGCGGGGTTTCTTAATCTTAGATTAAATATTTGACTAGGCCTACGCCTATTTAACATCTTAATCTTTGATATTTAGTTACAGATCCAGAGTTTATTGCTTTTTGTTTACTGATAGCAACAGCATGTCATTGCATTAAAAATTAATCCAGAATTCTAAAATAATTACGGTAATATCCAATTAAAATCTAGACACCATTTCAAGCATGCATTTTCTTTGGCAGAGATGATGGTAAGTACTTTATGACAAATAGATGGAAATGGTGTGCAGGAATATGGGGGAAAGTCAGGAGATTGGCATTAGGTAATAGAACTGGCACAGGCACAATGGGCTGAATGGCCTCCTTTTGCACCATAACAATAATGTGATTCTGAAATTATAACATGGACCAGTGCTGCATACACTTCCCTTGATCATGCTCGCTGCTTCCACTTCAGACAAGAGCTTCAAATGATGTCACTGATTTCTCAGGTTTCCCTCTAATACCCAATTTGGGGACATTGTTCACTAGGCCTGCATTTATTGGCCTTCACTAATGGCAGTTTCAGTAGGAACAACTCTTACAGCAGTAGTACCTGCCTTCTCCTCAGCCATAATCCTCAAGGCAGAGTAGGTAGCCATGAAGATCTTGCTGCACAGAGGTGAGGATCCCTAATGCAAAGCATTGCAGGTGACAATTTGTCTCTCAACATTTGTGAAAACTAGTGCCTCAGCGACCCAGGCTTTCACACCAGGTTATTGCTGACATCTGCACCTTCCTGAAACCTCCTTCCCCATGAACCATGTGGACGTGCATTGCCAGTGCATGCCAAAGGGCATGTCACTGGAGGGGCATCAACGGTCTCTGTCTGCGGCTGTGCTTGTATACAGTCGTCTCCTGCAAGGAAAGTAAGCAAATAGAAATGAGAGTTAGAAATGGCTTGTATGGGGGAAGGGGAAAGACAACTTTTGCAGGAGTGATGTAAGGCTTGAGTATGAGAGAGCAATATGATGAAGCTGAGTGTGAGTGTTGGCTCTTCAGATAGGAATGTGAGGTGCCTGGAGAAACAGGAGTTAAGTGATTGTAACGAGGTCAGCCAGGTAGACCTCATAGAATATGAGTTCCCTGATTGGGGCTGTTAATCGGATCCAATCAGGGAGCCCTGGCTGATAGGTATAAACAGGAATGTCAAGGGATCTGCTCACTCTGAGAGCTGGCTCTGAGGGAACTGGATCATTGTCAATGACTCTCCACATGTAAATAAAGAGTGACTTGGTGATGGGATACTCGCCTCTGTGGGGTTATTTCAAGGAGTAAGTGAAGTTGCAAAGTGTCCATGCATAGATTGATATTCAGATGCATGCTGGAGGGGTGAAGCAGAGGCTTAGGCCCCATCTGGAGAAGGACAAAGGCCAGGGGTGTCACTGGAGGGACAGTTAGAGGCACAGAATTGTGGGAGGGGTGAGTCTGCTTCCAAAATGGGGACTAGACGAGGCCTGCTCTGGGGGTGTTGGGAGATAAGGCCTGTTTGAGGAGCGGGAGGAGGAAGGACTACCTGCTGTGGGAGGTGATGTTTGTTCTAGGAGCAGGGTGACGTAGGGCCTGCAGTGGGAGTGGGGATGATCAGGGGTGAGCAGCAGGAGGGAAGGTGGTTGAGGAGGTAGGATTGGGAGGCCTGCACAGAGGCAGCATTCTTTTTGCCTGGGAGTGATAGGGAGACTAAGGGAAGTCTGGGAGGTCACAGAGAGAGTGGAAGAGAGAGGGAGCCAGTTGGGAGAATAGAAAATAAATACTATTTATTCTGGCATGCAGGTTAATTTATTTTAAGTCTTATAATGTAGTGTTTAGACAGGCTTCCCTTCACTTGAGAACGACATCTATTTGCTTTCTGCTCTTTACATCACTTAAAGGTAGCACTCATAGGAAACTGAGCCCTTTAATTCAGAATCCTTCCTTTAACAGATCTATGGCCTGATTCTGTCTTCAATTTTAATTGTCAGGTAACCCTGAAATATGATGTGAATGCTGTGGTTCATGGTTAAAGAGCCATGCTAAAAGCCTGCTGGAAATTTAAGTGGATTCCTGGCCGCAAATGATTCTGCTGTTTCTACAGGGGCTACGTTGTAAAATTTTCATCCATTGAGATAATAACAGAGATCCCATACCAAAATTTCTACTTAGATCCTTTCTGCCCATTATGCAGTAACAAGATTCAAGAATCATTTAGACCTGTGGTCACGTTCTTGTTTCTGATTTAGGAAGTTGTGAGTTTAAGTCCCAGTCCAGGATTTGAGAGCATGGGAACCTAGAAGCAGGATGAGGCCATTCATCCCTATGTGTCTGCGCTGCCATTCTAGGTCATGTCTGATCATCCATCTCAATACCATATTCCCATGTTATTTCCTTGTCTCTTGATGCCATTAGTAACAAAAAAAATTATCTGTAATTGTTTGAACTTCATGTCTGAGCTTCCACAGCCCTCGGGAAAAGAGAATTCAGAAGCTGTACTATCCTCTGAGTGAAGAAATTCCTCCTCATCTCGCTCCTAAATGGCTTACCTTTCATTCTGAGACTGTGCCCTCGGTCCTAGATTCCACAGCCGTGGGAAACAACCTTTCTGCATCTATTCTGTCTATCTCTTTAAGAATTGACTCCCTCTGTGCTGCACTGTTACAATGTCTTCTCCTCACATTGCATTTCCCATCCACTGCTTCCTCCAACCTGCACTTGCCCTTCTGTGAAGATTATTTGTTTCACGCATGAGCCCGTCATTCTGACTGATAAGAATTTATTAGCCCTTGTAGTTCACTCTTCCTTTCTCATCAATTCACATGTACATTCTTCTACCTTCCTGCTCTTCTCCTGTTTTTCACTTACTTCTGACTATACCTCCCTTCCCTTTCTTGTGCCTTCCCCTCCCCATCCCTATTTTCTTTGCCCCTTTGCCACAAGCAAACTTTGTTGAATCAGTGGTAGTGGTTTGGGTGCAGTTGTAAAGTGAGAAGCAAGCACTCAACAAAACAGATTTCGTTGCTGCATGCCCAAACCTTGATATTCATTTTTTTATTGTACATACTTTCAGCCAGAGAACCCCTATACCACTACTGGAATCTCACCAAATTTAGCCTATTCAATCACTTTGTTACATGGCATAATACATTGACCAGTTGGGATTATTTTGGCACACATACAACACATCCACACCAAGACTGTTTCAATCATGGCAAAATGTGTAATATTGTTAGAGGGACATCCTGTCTGGCTGTTTTAGTTGAATTTTTTGAAAAGGTAACTTAATATATTGATGAGGATAGTGCAGTTGATATGGTTTACATGGACTTCAGTAAGGCCTTTGACACGGTCTCACATGGAAGGCTGGTCAAAAAGGTAGGAGCCCATGAGACCCAAGGCAAGTTGGCAGACTGGATCCAAACGTGGCTTGCAAACAAGAGGCAAAGGGTAATGGTGGAGAGTTGTTTTTGTGACGGAAAACCTGTGAACAGCAGTGCACCACAGGCAACAGTGCTGGAACCCTTGCTGTTTGTTATATACATTAACGATATGGATGTGAATGTAAAAGCTAAAATTAGTAAGTTTGCAGATGACATGGAAATTGGTGGGGTTGTTGATAGTTAGGAAGATGGTCTCAGGCTATAGTCTGATATTGATCAGCTAGTAAATTGGGCAGGGCAATGGCAAATGGATTTTAATACTGTTAAGAGTAAGGTGATGCATCTTGGGAGGTCTGATAAAGGAAGGATAGACACAATGATCGGTTGGTCCCTCAGGAGTACTGAGGAACAAAGGAACCTTGGTGTACAAGTCCATAGGTCCCTGAAGTTGTCAGCGCAGGTGAATAGGGTGGTGAAGAAAGCATACCAGATGTTGCCTTCATTAGGCGGGGCATAGAATATCGGAGCAGGGAAGACTTGTGCAACTTTATAAAACATTGCCTAGGCCACAGATGGAATACTGTGTGCAGTTCTGGTCGCCCCACTGTCGGAAGGATGTGATTACACTGGAGAGCATGCAGAGGAGATTCATCAGGATGTTGCCTGGGACAGAAAGTCACAGTTATGAGGAGAGACTGGATTGGTTGGGATGGAGCAGAGGAAGGTGAGGGGAGATCTGATTGAGGTGTATTAAGTTGTGAGAGGCATAGTTTGAATAGATCATGAGAATCTTTTCCCGTGGCAGATGTGTCTAAGACCAGAGGACATAAGTTTAAGGTGAGGAGTGAGTGGTTTAGAGGGGATTTGAAGAAGTCTTTTTCACCCAGAAAGTGATAAAAATGTGGAATGTGCCGCCTGAGAGGCTGGTACTCATGTAACTTTTCAGCACAGTCAGCTATGGACCAAGTGCAGGTAAATGGAATTAGAATAGTCTGTTTTTTTTTTGGTCAGCAAAGACATGGTGGGTGGAAGGGCCTGTTTTTATGTTGTATGAGTTCAAGTGCAGTTTGGCAAAACCAAAAATGACGGTGCACTGTGTCTTACTTGGAGGGTTTCTGACCCCCATCAGGTTGGCTCCTGCTGTGCTAGAGATCCAACTTTTGCAGCCAATTGTAGATTCAAACTGACTATCCATAACACATGCCAAGAGAAAGTGTTGTTAACATTAAGTTTCATATTGTATTCCAGATTTTTGATTTTCATTCTTCCAAACCATGCTACTATACTTTTATAAGATTACTGTTTGCAAAAAAAAAACCATGATCATGCATTCATGCCACACACCTGCAAATTTGGGATATTGTTCAATAATTCTGACTTTCCCATGTAAATTGATCATTTCTGTTTCTTTTCAGAGGAACAAGAGCCTCCTATGGATGATTATGGAATATATGAATTTGTTGCTGTGCCTGAGCCGGCAGAGTTTCAACAGGTGCGTGTATTGGCCTGCTCAGCAAAACTGGTTTTACAAGCTTAACATTTGTTTAACACTTAACGAAACTTGTCACATGCACGTTTTAAAATCAAACTGCTTTCATTTTGCTGAATAATCCAACTGTAAATTGAGAAAGGTTAATATCGTTTGCATGTAGAATCCTCACAGATCTTCTTATTCAAGCAGAACCTTGCAGAAATAGAATATTAGGAACGAGAGGAACTGGTCAAATTGATCATAGGTGGGAGGGCGGGTGGAAAGAGTAGTTAATAAAGCATACAGTGTCCTTGGATTTATTAATAGGGACATAGAATACAGAGCAGGGAGATGATTGAACTTCTGTAAGACACTTGTTAGATCTCAGCTAGAGTATTGTGTACAGTTGTGGATGCCATATTATAGGAGAGATGTGAATGCATTGGAGAGAGTGCAGAAGCCATTTATAAGAATGGTTCCAGGGATGAGAAACTTCCGTTATGAGGATAGATTGAAGAAATTGGCACTGTTCCCCTTAGAGAGAAGAAGGCTGAGAAGAGATTTAATGGAGATTTTCAAAACCATGTGCAGGCTAGATGCCGTAAATAGGGAGAAGCTGTTCCTGCTTGGAAAATAATAAAAAACAAGAAGGCATTAATTTAAAGTGATGTGCAAAAGAAGCAAGGGTGATGTGAGAAGAACTTTTTCACATAGCATGTAGGTAGAAGTATAGAATGCCTGCCTGGAAGTGAGGTAGAGGCAGGTTTAAATGAGGCATTCGAGAGGGCATTGGATGATTATTTGGATGGAAATGGTTTACAGGGCTCTGGGAAAACCAGGAGATTGGCACTGAATAATCAAACCAGTGCAGGCATGATGGGCTGAATGGCCTCTTGTGCTGCCACAATTCTGTGCTTCTGTGAGTTAAGGTATCTCTCATAAAGGGTAGACACGGTATTAAGAACTAATGATTTGGTTACATAATTTATAAACATCATTTGGGAAATACTCTCCTAGAAATTATGTATGGTTTTACCCTGTTGACTTCATTTCTGTGCGTGCGTACGCCTTTTAAACCAATTCCTTCGCCATTTCTTTGTTCCCCATTACTACTTCTCCCATTTCATTTTCCACTGATCCAATGTGCACTCTTGCCTCACTCTTACCTTTTAAACATCTAAAAAAACTTGCTATCTTCTTTTATATTACTGGCTAGCTCACCTTCATATTTCATCTTCTCCATTATTGCTTTTTAGTTGTCATCTGCTGATTTAAAGGCCTCCCAATCCTTTGGCTTTCCATTAATCTTCACCAAATTGTATGCTTTTTATTTTGTTTTTATGCCATCCCTGACTTACCTTGTCAACCATGGTAACCTCATCCTCCCCTCAGTGTGTTTAAAGGTCATGGTCAAAGAACTAACCCCTAGTTACCCATACGTTGCAAGCAAGGAACTTCACTAACTGCAAACCAGTTTAAAAAAATGAATCAGGACAAAATGACTTCAAACAACCTACAAAACCAAGAATCTCAAAAAGCACCTGTTTATCTGTGTCAATGGTAGCGGTAACTTCCATTGCAACAGCAGCAAATGTCAAGTAACTGCTCGGCACAAACAGTTCTGAGACATTTATTCCTTTGGAGATAGTAGGAACTGCAGATGCTGGAGAATCCGAGACAACAAGGTGCAGGGCTGGATGAACACAGCAGGCCAAGCAGCATCATAGGAGCAGAGAGGCTGACGTTTCGGGCCTAGACCCTTCATCAGAAAAGGGGGAGGGGAAGGGGGTTTTGAAATAAATAGGGAGAGAGTGGGAGGCGGATAGAAGAGGGATAGAGGAGAGGATAGGTGGAGAGGAAACAAACAGGTCGAAGAGGCGGGGATGG